GTCAACTCGCCGTGCACCTTCGCATTGAATATTAACAATGGATTCTCAGTGGTTGGTTAACTTGAACGTCTGAAAACAACGTCAAAGCCTCACGAAGAGCTGCCATGTATGACCTGGCTGTTGTCACTTTGTGTCTGCACATCAAGGCATTCAGTGCGGACATGAAGGGTGTCTGGAGTGTCTGGTCATCCTTCGCTGGGCCTCAACATAATCACATGTGAAAACACAATCAAACTGTTCTATCCTTTCAACTCCAATATCTTTGCAGTAGAATCAGGTTCTCTCTCTTTTCTGAGTCACGTGCTAGAGGGATTCTTGCAAACAGTGGTGTCGATGTCCTTGTCTTCTTTGCCTTTGGCTTTTGCAGCTTGTGAAAGCGACCAAGGATTTCAATGATCGAAAGGGAAACAACGTCTATATGAGATATGATGTTCTTCTTGTTTTCCCGAAACAGTGTGGACACACTTGGGGGTTCTTACCGTAGGAGAAAAGCAGCTGTGCTTAGATCGGTGTGCCGCGCGGGCGTGTCCGGCTATTTCGTTTCTATCTACAGTACATTCATGCCCCTCGAAGCCCTCGAAGTGCATTTCGACTGCGCAGGCTCGCAAAATCTGCCTGCCCGCGGCGGGTGCTTCTGACGACCGCGCTCTCGTTGTGGTGCCTTGCGCATTTTCGCACATGGTGGTCACTTTTCGTTGCAGGCGCAAGGGAAACCTCGTGTTTTGGTGCTTCAGTCGACTTTTCGCGCGAGGTGGAAGGGATCAGAGATGTTTTACTTCGAAATGCTGTTTTCGTGGCAGGTGCAGTGAATCGCCACTTTTGGACATGTGGCTCGTTTTGCAGTTTTCGCGGCAGGCACAGCACCCTGTGACCCTCGATGTGCAACTTTCGTGGCAGGTGCAGCACTTTCTGAACCTCGAAGCAGATTTCGTGACAGGTACAGCACTTTGGGAACCTCGACGCGCAGATTTCGTGACAGGCACAGCACTTTGTGAACCTCGATGCGCAGACTTCGTAGCAGGTACAGCACTTGGTGAACTTCGACGTGCAGAGTTCGTGGCAAGCACAGACCTCGACGCAGATTTCGTGACAGGTGCAGCACTTGGCGAACCTCGACGTGCCAGCCGCAGCACTTTGTGAACGTCGACGTGCAGATTTCGTGACTGGTACAGCACTTTTTGAAACTCGACGCGCAGAGTTCGTGACAGGCACAGCACTTTTTGTGAACCTCGACGTGCAGATTTCGTGACAGGCCCAGCGCTTTCCGAGCCTCGATGTGCAGATTTCGTGGCAGGCACAGCACTGTGTGAGCCTCGACGCGCAGATTTCGTGGCAGGCACAGCGCTTGGTGAACCTCGAAGTGGAGATTTCGTGGCAGGCGCAGCACTTTGTGAACCTCGAAGTGAGGAGATGGTGGTGATGAAGGTGGGGATCGTGGTGACGGTGGCGGTGAGTGAGTGAGTGAGTGAGGGAGTGAGGAGGGAGCGAGCGAGCGAGGGAGTGTGTGCAGTGTGTGCAGAGTGGGTGAGAGTGAGTGTGGGTGAGAGTGTGTGAGGGAGTGTGAGTGTGAGTGAGAGTGAGAGGGAGTGTGGGTGAGAGTGGGAGAGTGAGTGATTGTGTGAGTGAGAGTGAGAGGGAGTGAGAGTGAGAGTGGGTGAGAGAGTGAGAGTGTGAGTGTGTGAGAGTGAGAGTGAGTGAGTGAGTGAGTGACTGACTGACTGACTGAGTGAGTGAGTGAGTGAGAGAGTGAGAGAGTGAGAGTGGGAGAGTGAGTGAGTGTGAGTGCGAGCGTGAGTGAGAGTGAATGTGAGTGTGAGTGAGTGTGAGTGTGAATGTGTGTGTGTGTGTCACACCCTGGTTCTAAGGGTTTCCACCTGCTTTACCTTCTACCGCCACCGAGACTTTCCACCAAAGGCAGGGGCACTGAGCACTCCTCGGGAAACTCAGTGCAACAAAGCTATGCCTTGGAGCTTCCCACTTTTCCTTGCTGTGTTTTGATGCCATGGTTGTTGCTCATGATACTTCCCCTAAACCCACTTTTCTGCAGCTGAGCTCGTCACCGCACCGAATGTACAGATCGACTTCGAGGCCTTCTTTGAAAACTTTTTTAAACAATACTGTTTTGCCGACTTATGCGCCTTTCCGTTCCCTCACCTTCCTTCCCATCGTGACAACTGAGTATAACTGAAAACCCAAGTTCGAAGTGTGGATCGCTCAGTCTTCCCACATGGGTACTGGGTGTGACCCTCCGCAAGGAGGCGCTGCTATCATTCCGGAACGCATCGTTTTTTCTTTCTTATAACTGACTCCACGGTTTCCATTTTATCCCTGAATTTCCTGATTTTCGAGCCGCCGGGCTATAAACGATGGATCTCTTACCAAGTCAGGTTTGTGCATCTTGCGTTGTCCCAATTCTCACAAATTTTAATCCGCAGCCGTTTGATCAGCTTCCACATGCTCCACACCACTCCACAGACCGCAGGAATTGTATTGCATACCACGATTTCACCTTGCATGCCACGATTTCACCTTACTTCACTGCAGATGCATTCAGGCTCCACACTTCACCAATACTTCCGACTTTTCATTTCAGCTGCTGTGCCGCGCCGGCGCCATTTCTCGCAGCTTCTTGGACTGGCTTCTCTACATGCAGTACCCCTGGCCTTATCCACACTGGCCACCACCGTGCACCGCACCCTCGATACCCGCAGTCAGCACTCAGCCACCGCCATGGCACCACTCTCCACCAACGGCACCTGTTCCCACCGTTTTGTCCCACCCACCACAGCAGGCCTTTATTCCTCACTTTCAGACCACTGCACCGCAGCCACCACCTCATGCGTGGCATCCCATGCCAACACGTTCTCCACCAGTACCAACCTTTGTCACTCCCGCGCACGCACACCCAGCACCACCTCAGCCGCAGGCATTTGAGACCCTACCGCCCTCTTTACCACATGCATTACCACATGCACTACCAGCGTCATCCGCTCCTCCAGCGACCCAGGCACCACCACCGCAACCACCGATCCAACAGGTTCCCGTTCACTGGGACCAATCTCAAGGCGTTTGGCAGCCTTTCTCCCTCTTTCCATCGGTGGCTCACCCATCGCCGCACCAAACATCAGCCCCAACCACCACTGTCTCAGACGATCCAACTTCTCCCGCAGCCACACTTACGCCACCCGCACCTGGGGCTCACCCTCATTGAGCACTCCTGGCACCAACTCCACAACAATCTCCTTCAACGCACTGCCCTCCACTTTGCTTACTACCGCTATGTCGACAACCGTTTCATTGTCCACAATGAACACTTCCTGTCACATCACGCCATCCAGACCCTCATCCACAACAACTTTTTCGGCGATCCCGTCGAATTGGAGACGGTGGACGACTTCCACCTCCTCGGTTTCAACATCGACCTCCAGCAACGTACCATCACCTACATACAACCCACCCAACCCTGGAAAATCAGGGACCACACCAGCGCCGGTAGCCAGCGCTTGGCTCTGTCCGGCTTAGCTTCAAGACTTCACTCCATCTACACCTACACTTTTCCACCCCGCAATGCCACCGCTGCGGCTGAAGCCTTGGTCAACCTCTACGCCCAAAAAGGGCACGACCTGCATGCGTGCAGGCGGTTTTTGAGAAAAAAGGCCCGCGTTTTCTACCGCTCGCTCTGTGCGCCGATCACGGCGTGTTGTGTGTGTCACACCCTGGTTCTAAGGGTTTCCACCTGTTTTACCTTCTACCACCACCGAGACTTTCCACCAAAGGCAGGGGCACTGAGCACTCCTCGGCAAACTCAGTGCAACGAAGCTATGCCTTGGAGTGGGAAGCACGGATTGATCACCCGTGTGTACCTGCGCAGTGACACTACTCCACTTTTCCTTGCTGTGTTTTGATGCCATGGTTTGTTGCTCATGATACTTCCCCTAAACCCACTTTTCTGCAGCTGAGCTCGTCACCGCACCGAATGTACAGATCGACTTCGAGGCCTTCTTTGAAAACTTTTTTAAACAATACTGTTTTGCCGACTTATGCGCCTTTCCGTTCCCTCACCTTCCTTCCCATCGTGACAACTGAGTATAACTGAAAACCCAAGTTCGAAGTTCGAAGTGTGTGAATGTGTGTGTGAGTGAGAGTGAGGGTGAGTGAGAGATTAAACATCTGAGAGCACAAAGTGCTGTGCTGGCGCCGAAATCTGCATTTTGGCGTTCACACAGCACCGCGCCTCCCACGAAATCTCAAATCCTTTTAGCATAGTACAAAGGCAAACTCAACTCGGGCAGCGGCTTCGGGCAGGCGGACGTTCCAATCTTCTCCTGAAAAAACTTAAAATCTCTGACAGAAGGAATCCACAACATGCATTTGGTGGGGGCGGGTGCCGTTGAGGACCGGGAGGGTAGGAGGTACTCAAACATTGCTGCAGCTTAAAGCAAGGGTGCAGTCGCTCCCAAACGCAAAAGAGTTCGGGTTCAAGATCAGAGCTTCATTGAAAAACCCAAGAAGATGATCCGAAACGGAAGATGGGCTGATGTGTTGCTATGCCGGAGGGTTGGGACCAGGGAGAAAGGAACAGCAAGGGCCCTTCAAGGAACCTTCATTGGTGGCAACGTGCTCCCCCCGCCCCCACTTTGAAAGCCAGCTCGTCTGGGAACCTTTAGCCAAAGACCCTGGAACTTAGAAACCTCCACCTGGAATAACCTGGAAGCCACCAGGCGCCACAGCCATGGTGATTGCTGCTGACTGTTGTATCGATTGAAATTTTGCCTTGCTTTCGGAAGGGGATGTCAACAAAGAAGCGTAATGTCTGACACGACCCTGAGCATTTCCAATCTGGCAGGCATCACCCATGTGATCGTTCTTTCCTTGGAACCTGTCGTCAAGAGCCAGTTTCAAGAAGAGTGTGCCTACTATTTACCAGCCTCGTGTCGAGTATGTTGTGGATTGTCCACCTGCCCGAAAAAGCTGCTTCTAGCATTGACAGGAAAACATGTTTATTTATTCGAAGAGACATGTGCATGTCCTACAAACATTAGTCTTTTTAATATATAGAAACAAAGGGTCTGAGTCGAAGCTAGGCGCACGAGGGCCTCAAACTCCGAGACCAAGCTCTGCTGGGCCTTGATTAGCGAAGCCTCCGTGAATGGCAATGATTAACAAAGCACCTCTCTCTCTCTCATAAACATCAGTAAAAACATGCAGACTTTGCAACATATGTTTCTATTCTGCAGTGTACAGTACTTTAATATTCCTCTCTCTCTCTCTCTCCCTAGTCCATTGTTGGCACCTCAACACCTTGAGCCATTGCATACTCACAAGCCCGTCTGAAGAGGTACTCCGTCTGGTACCTCTCGTTAAGGCAAGAGAGGCTCTGTCACGAGAAAACATACTCTGCGAAGCACACCACATCCCTCTGATGGTGGAATCTGTGGTGTCGTTGACAGCATCGAAGTCAGGGATCTTCTTGGCTTCCTGGGATTGCGAGTTCAGAGGTACAAGTGCTTCTTAGTTTGTTGCTGTTGACTACGTAAGCCTGGGAGCTTCTTGTACGCAGGTGCCGGGATAGGAAGTCTCAAGAAGCATGGAGTGAAAAGCCTCTCTTGCCTAAGGGTAGGGGGCAAGCGTCCTTGAAGACCTCTCGCTGTGTGAAACCATTCCGAGGTTTTGAGAATTGAACAAACTGACGACCCAAAGACAACATCATCCTCTGCATCGGTTGCGCTGATGGCATCCACCACTGAGGCATACGTCTTGTTTGCCAACAGCATTTGCTGGCGAATGAGGCTGTACCTGTCAAATCAAACCATCACAATATCAACATGACATGAGCGAGTAACCTTGAAGGTTCAATGTTTGATAGACATATGTACGTATCTGGAGACCATGGTCCTGCCAACCCTTAGGTGACTGCAGGATAGCGCCAAGGATTGTGATGTGTTGCTGCCGCGGTACACACGACATGCGACAGTGCAAACGCATGTAAATGCAAGGCGGAACAGTTAGCGAGGAAAATGGAAATGATTACGATGTAGATTTGAGATTTCAAGAAACGGTCTGGACTGATGTGGAATGTAGCAACCTGAAGGGGCCAGGATGTCGGCCTTGCAAAGCCTGACGGAATGTCTGATTCTGAAGTTAGGTTTCGGTTTCGGTTAGAAGGCACCTTAAAGCCTTACTTATAGGCACCTTTAGTTAAAACTGGGACAAACAAAAAGCGCTTTGTTGCCCAAACATAGGTTCCTGCATCTGCACAGGAGGGGCGTCCGAACGAGCAAGTCTTGAACGACACTGGTAGCTACACCTCCCGCATCAGGGCCTAGGGTCAGCTCATCTACGCTTCACTCAAGCAGCAACCCCAAATTGCCTTGATTTAACCCCCACATACCCCCACCCCACCCTGCCTACCGCCTTGGAAAGTACAAGGCAAAGGTTGGGGAGGCTCGGTGCGAATACAAATGGCGTTGTGGCGCTGGTCTTGCTTCTCACAGCTTCCCGCAACCGGTGCCGCAAAGCCGGTTCAGAGAGACCAATGTGTGACTTTCTTCGGAGTGCAAACGGAACCGTGTCTACCCGCTGAACGGCGCCCACCTCTGGATGCGTTGGATAGCATCTGAGTAAAGGCGCTCAAACACGCCCTTGAGCACAGGGGGGTTTCGAGGGAGTCCAGAAGCAAATGAAGAATCCACAATATCCTGCAAACGAATGTCAAACGAATTCAAGCCTTGTCTACATATAAAGAATGCGTCCTTCAGGCCGACCTTTTCCATAATGCTATCGACAGAGGATGCCACACCGGGGCCGGCATCCATGGAGACAACCTTGTGGCAAGTGACGGGCAGTGTTAACAAGCAGAATAGTGGCAAATACAAGCAGTACTACAAGCAGTACAGTATCGCCTAGTGCCCAACCTGCTCAACCTGGTGCCATCGCACGCGTCGCGCACGTCGCCGTCCAAGTGCTTGACCCTGATGTTCTCCAAGCGCTTGCGGAGCTCGTCAATCGTCAAAAGAAGTCGGGAGATCTCTTCCTCCGAATAAAGTTCGGGTTCTTCAAGGAGACTCTTCGTCAAAAATCCGAACTTTTTCTTAATACAATGTCTATTTTTTAGGATTGATATAATTAGCTTGGAGCGTGGACATCTTTGGACCTTTCCCATGGACAAATTGGACAATTCTCCTGCTGTCTTTGCGTCACCTGCTTGAGGTGTTGAATCTCCTTGGGATCGCCTACAATCGGAACTGTGGACTATTTGCAAACTACCTCTTACACCAGGCTCGGTTTGGTGTCTTGGACCTGCCTGTTCCCGGCACAGCACACAGGCAGGTCTTCAACCGCTTCGAAAACACAAGTTTCTCTTAGGTCTTGGACTTGACGGAAGAATAAACATCACGCTCTATAACAATTATAGCAACCCTAGTTCGCTTTCACAGACCGCGCCAAAATGCGACTTGCCTTTGTAGACCACTTCCTTCACCTTCTCTTTTGGTTCTGGAGTTGCGACTTCCTGATGAAGTGAGCACGTGTCAAAGATCCAAGCCGCAAAGACAAACATGTGCTCTTATATTTCAATATATATATTTCAAAGCACTCACTAGAATTCCGCCCGCGCAGACCCCAGATAGGAAAGAAATCTTTGTGGGGAGCACATGGCAGCGGCACTCTGCAGCGTCCTCCAGCAGCCTCAGCACCCAGGCCCCAAAGACACGTCGCAGCAGCACCGTCGGCATCGGGCGGTGCCCTGCAGCGGTAGCAGCACCCAATTCAAAGCGCACGCAGCCACACATCTGGCAGTGGCACCCTGCAGCGGACACAGAAACACATCTGGCAGTGGCACCAGCACCCAAGCTCCAAAGCGCACACGGCCACACATCTGGCAGCAGCGCCCTGCAACGACATCTCTTCCTATACTTGAAGCAAGAACCACAATAGCCCTCGCTATCTGGAAAAATCACGCAGAAAACATGCCAAATGAAATTGCGTCGCCTTGACCTCTGGAGCTGGAGGCTTTTCAGGTTTCTCACTCGGAGTGAGATTTGCTTGGAACTTTTTCAAAGCCTCGCTGACCCAAACCTGTCAAACTCAGCGCATGTGCGAAATTCTGAACATGTAGAAGTACAAGTGCACACAGCAACCGGTTCGGCCAAAGTGTCCTCGTGCGGTGTGGCGGTGTGCTTGTGAGTGTGGTTGGGCGTGCGGTGCAACACCTCGAAGGACGGCCTTCACCCCCCCCCCGTAGCATCCTGTAAGGTACCCCTTCTCAAAAAACTTTGAGTTTGAGTTCAGAATCAGCGAAGCAGCTGCTTGGCCTCGAACTTCGGAGATGCTTCTCGCATGAATTTGCCAACCTTTTTCGGAACATGTAACCGGAACAGTCGAAAACAATGCTTCATGAAGAGCAAGAACTGGTTCACGGTTCATATGATGTCTTTTTCAAAAAGTACAACTTTGCGAATCGCTTTAGCTTCTTGAAGCTGTGCTCGTCGCGTCAATTGCAACGGGATCTGCAGCAGACGCAAAGCCCTGGTGTCGGTGTGGCCATTGGACAAAAGATCCCACCGAGTCACGCAAGAGATCAATTGCAATGCGTTGCTTCCAACGTTGAACAAAACCTTATGGACTGTAATTTACGTACAATGGCTTTGTTTCAACATCCAAGACAGTCATAAGGCGAGCCTAATGTAACAGGAATGTAAATTTTGCAAGTGCACTCAATTCTCAGGGCCTGCAAGAACTTCAGCTCTGTGGAAGGAATCTGACGGCAGGACTAAGAGTCACATTGGAACTGACGGCTTCGGAGTATCTGGTCCTAATTTGGCTTATCATAAGCTGGCCCCGCTCATGAACACGTTCTCTTTTAGTGAGGCCCATAGGTACCCCAATGATTTTTCTAGACTTCTTGTATTCTGGGCACCTCTGCAAAATTTGCTCAGTTCCTTGTTACTTCGGTCACGGGTGCCCGCTTGATGGGGATCAGGCCTCTTGGCTGCGCTCGAAGCGGGGATCCATACAACATTACCCCCTGAAGAAATTATACAATACATGCATGCAAGATCCAGTCAAGAATTCGGCCGCCCCAGTGGAGCAAGCAAACAAACAAATCAGAACATTGTGAAGCGCAAGCTCACACAGCTTTGAAGCTCGCACCAATCCTTCTGTTCGCGCCAACTAGCTCAAGGCGTCTGATCCAAACCAAAAAAACCGTGTACAACACACCCTGGTTGAAACAGCTCAGGTGTGTTAGCGGAAACGCTCTTGCCACCTTTCTGTCGTGAGTTGTCCTGGATGTCGACAAGACCGGTATGCATGGTCTTCAGCAGGTAGTCTGGCTTCATGCTCTTCGTGACAGGATCTGCAAGCTGCTGTGCCGTCTCAATCCACTGTCAAGTGGTCACCGTATGGACTGCACACACCCGACGTCACCCCACCATTCACTGTGCATGCCCTTGCCTGAGCGCTGCAAGCTCGGTTCCAAGTCGCTTGTCTTGGATCCTACGCGGTGCTTCAGCCAGCAAACGATCTGACAAAGACCTGCAGTCTGTCAGGTACATGTGCGCCATCTTTCGCTGTGTCTCATTGTCCACGATCCTGCTTGTCAGTTCGCAGATCAGGCGCCTCAATCTGTCGCCATCCTCCACGGCCATTGGAAGCGCATATGTCTCAGCCTGTAGCGTAGCTCGACAAACACTCTTGAGGGTTGTTGATCCATAGCTGATCAAGTGCATCTTGCGCTGGTCCTTGTGAAGGTCTTTTGCACTTGTCAAATCATGAATTTCTCTGTTGACTCATGTTGCCTTCTTCATTCGCGAAGCTTGCGTCACTGAATGTGACAATTGCTAGATCCTCCCAATCGATCCAGTCGCTGTTGAAAGTTATCTCCAGGTCACTTCCCTGAAGCGCCAAGTCCACAGCTTTGTTTGCGTTCTTCAAATCTTGGACGGTTGCCTTGCTGCTGCGTGCTCTCTGCGTTCCATTCACGCGGTAACGCAAAATCAGGTCGACCATAGCGGGCCACCCATGCAAGACTTCCCACAAAGCTTCTCAAACTTGTCAGCTCCTTCTCTGTCACCTTGTCCGTCACCTTGCGTTCTTGTCGATCTCGATCGGCTTGATTGTCTTGCAGATCTCGCGTGGGGAAATGCTCACGGGAAAATTCTACACGCTGTACGAATCTCCGTCCACGATACCGGAACCTGCCACTTTCAGTCTTTCAAGGTAAGAGTAAAGGAAATCATCAACGTGTGTCGCGGTCATTCCTACCAGCCTGCCTTTGGAGTTGTGCAAGTAGTACACGGTTGGCGTGATCTTACTGCTCTTGAGGCTTTGCTCGTGATTTCTCCGTTCACACACAGGTAAAAACCACGGCCGGCGTCAACGGCGCCCTAGATAGGCAGTCTTGCTATCAACGCGGCATCCGGTGGAACGTCCTCACTCGGAATGCCTCTTCATGAGTAGAATTGGAAGTATGCATTGCTCACGTCAGCGCAGAACATGGTCACCTTATGTGATGCTGCGTAAGATGCCGATGCAATGCGTTTCTCCTTCCGCTGTTGGAGAGTCGCGTCGCACTTCCCCCTTAGTGTTCAAGTCAAAGATACGAGAACGGTTCTTGGGTTGGCTCTGTGCCAAAGAAGTGGGCATTCTTGTCAACGTCCACCTACTGGTACACATCTGGCGGTGACTTGTCAAAGTTCAGAGTCCGTTCTGTTACCCGGGAGAAAAGGGTGAAACCTGTCCAGGCACGAGGTTCACACCTAACCTTGACTCGCTGGTCTTTTTGCTTGCATCTTCAAACATCTTCCTGGTCACGCGTCTTCCTCCATAGCCTTCGGGCACATCTCCGTCTTGCGCCTGGCGATATTCATGATACCTCTTCTTGCTGTGTCACCAGTGATCGTTCACCAGCCACGTCTGCGATCTGCCATCATGGCTTCATCATCTCCTTCAAGTTTACCAAGTGTCATTGGCGCAGCACTTGCGGATGATCGCTTGAGCCTCGCCCTTTTGCCCACGCTTTGGGATGGCTTCTTCGTCCATCCTGCGAATGTACTTCTCACTTGCTGATCTGAGCTTCCCAACACTACACAACACAGGCACTCCTTCACGCAATTATTGCCATTGCGTCAATGCCAATCATTCTTGAAGCTGTGGACCACCCGGTAGACCACCAGGTCTCCTACCTCGAAGGTCTTCTTCTTCTTCTTCCGAACTGCTTCATTTCTGGTAAGTGCTCTTGCGACTTGGGAACTGGTGTCCAAGTGAACGAAGGCATACAAAGGCCATCTGGGCAGCCATTCATGACGCGCGACACAAGCGGTAGCTTGCTGCAGGGTCAAGCTTGAGATCGCCAGCCTCCTCCGTGTCGGTGATTGACCCAGGAATACGTGGATTTCTTCCCAGGACCCGTTGGGGAGGGGAGTATCCCTGCGGACTCAAATGCATCTGGTCTGCGGATTGGCTTCCTGCGGATTGCCTTGAGAATTCCCTGATGTCGTTCAACCTTGCCAATGGATGAGAAGATTTCCACTCCACGTGATGCAGCAACCTGGAATCTTCAACTGTGTCGGTCCATTATTAATACTAGTAGCCTTTGGAAATCCAGCGCAACTGACACATCTGCGCATGATTGCTTGCGCGCAAGCCTCTGCTGTTGGCATCCCTCCACCTTCTTTGGCAACCTCAAAGAGACCGAGCCCAGCTGAAATATCACACATGGTCAGAACGCTGAAAATTGTTCCCTGCGGCGTCTTTCATGTCTGACCAAACGCGCGGCTTCCATCAATTCCTTGGGCGCTGGGTGGCCGACTTGACAACGCAAACGCCGGATTGCGATCCGTGTCCACTGGACAAAGCCTTCTCTTCTCTGTCATGTCGGCGGCTGGCAAAGCAAGCTGGTCAAGCGTCAAACCCTTGTTCTTTCACAAAATATGGACCGAGGTCTTCGTCTTGCTGATCAGTGATCTAGCGAATCTCTTCACGATCGCTGTCATCAATCTCTGAAATGTCTTCAAGTTCATCCGCTACGAAAACAAATGCGCGCAAAATGCTCCAAATACGTTTCTTCTGACAACGTGTTCAAAATCTCCAACTGTATGGATGACTTGCTTCAAAACATTTTGGCGTCAGTTTCTCTTGACACCATCCTTGCCACTCTGTGGG